ACTGAGTTGAAAGGGCATCCCGTAGAAACACAAATAAATTGCGGAATAATGAGAATTTGATTAGCTGGGTGCTTGAGATGTAGAGCGAGGGGGCCCCAACAAAATCGAGGTGATAGAAGTAACTGAGGATCTTAAAAAGACCAACATTGACCAAACCACCACCGTGAGGAAACCCGCCCGATTGGGAAGCCTACAGCGCCCGTTCCGCTCAACTGGGCATTGGGGCCCCTTTGGGACCTCCAAGATTCGAAGCCTGGCTTTCAGATGAGGGTATTTTGAAGAGCATAGCACAAGAATTGAATGTGCTATGGAGGGCCCTCTGAGCATGGCCGTTAGGGGGCTAACGGCTCCCGGTATATAGATAGGATCCTGTTTTGGTTGTGATGCATTACGAGGGTACTCCTTCACAGAGGAATGTCATCGGAACCTTCATCGTCTGATGTAGCAGCAACAGGAGGTGTACAGGAAGCAGCAACTAGGGTAGGATCCTTGAGAATAGGCTCGATCACACCGAGACAATGCGATGGAGGCTGATCTGCAACAGCCGCAATAGAAGTGCATTTTTTATGCAATCAGGCCATGACATAAAAAGGTAATGAATGGCTGACCTGCGACATGTACCACAGATGGGGCTTTGTCAATGCAAGGAGGGATGAGGGAAGGGGAAGGGTACAGTCGGCGATGATGGGCCTTCTCAGTGAGCAACACAAGAGCTTTCTGAACTGCCATACAGTGAGCTGCAACTTCGTCTTCAACATCAGAATCTTCATCGGTCAAATCAGCTACACCGCGATGAGCTTCAGCCAGATTCTTGCAGATTTTCTGAAGCTTGAGGATGTGAGAAGGCATGTTGCGAGACTGTGAGGTAAAAGTGAAACGACGACAATGAGAAGAGTCTTGTATGATGCAGAAATGGAATCACATGTAAGGAAAAGCGATGATGACAGGATGGAGTGCAAATGCTGTCGTGAAATGCATCAGTGGCATGTTAAAATGTCACGTCAAAATGTCACGTGACCGTGCAGCGCATATAGTCAGATAATCTCACACACAACAGATCACTCTAACCCCGCCCCCCCTCTGTACATCAATTCAAGCAATCCCTAATCATCTGTACACAATGTCTGAAGAGACTGTCACCGTAAAAGTCTCAAATGATGAGGTTGAGAAGGCGTACGAGTCAATCCTGCCTCTCAATGCCAAAACCTCTCTAGTCGAATATTGGTGGAAGAAATGGGATGGCGAACTGGAAGGGTGACCCTTTCAGAGCCTCTCACCATAGACCGAACTGATATAATTAACAGCTCTACTGAGAAGTGCTTCATGCGGAGAAACACTGTCTACAGTAAAGTCAACAAAATCGACGAGTGCGACAATATTAACTCGATGGATGCAGTACTCAGAAAGGACAACCCTCATCAGTTTCAATGGGTTCAAACCATTAAAAAGGGGGAGAAGTTACCACCATCATGGGAACTGTTAGATGAGAGTGACTTTTACGATAAGAGGAACAATGGTAAACATTCTGCCAGATTAGTTCTGATTCAACACACTAAATAAGCAGAATAAATAGTTACCTGCAGCTCTAGCACTAGAGAGGCATGGGGTAGTGGTGATGACTTATGTAACGCTGAGCTAGGAGTAACCTTAATAAAAGGTAAGATAGCCGGCCCTGGAAGCATGTTGAACGCCCACGTTAGGGATTCTAAGAGCATCCTATTTCATGGGAGACAATATCTGCAATGAAGCTAGCGATAAGGCATCAAACCTCCCCAAGAAATGCATGAAAAAAACCTCGGTGAGTGAGTTGCCAACCTAAAATATTACATCTAAACTTTCTACAAAAAAAGAGAACGTCAGAAAATGACAAACCATCTACACGTAGCCAAAATAAGAAGAGGATATCTGTACAGCTGTCGTCTGATGATGACTGAGAGCCATTAGAATAGGCGCATACATGAGATTACAATTTTTCTGTGCTTCGAGTCATATCTTGGTAGCATATACCTTGGACAGGAATGTATAAGCAGTGTGAATGTGACATAAACATGTGAACAAGGAGAAACTGCAACTTGAGTGAAGGAAAACCCAACAGTCAAATGCTTCATCTTACTAACATGTCATGAAAGCAATACATTGAAGTGTTGCAAATTGACGAGTGTAGCCAGAATGAATCTGAAATAAGAAAAAAAGCATAGAAACTGTGAGGAATGATTTTCAAAAAGACAGGATAGATGAAATATGACTATGTCAAAAAATTACACCCTTTCTGACATGTCATAAACCAAAACATCCAGAGCCAGAATTGTTCACATAAAGGTAGTGACAGGTATGATGAATGGCACTTAACTCATAATAGACAGTGATAAATATCATTTATATAGATCATGCCTGCACACGGTGGGTCAACCGTGAACGAAGTTTTCCATATTTTATAACATGTCAGTAATTACCACATTTCGAACGCGAAATCATCACAAACACATTGAGGGCCATATAATGTCCTGTGCATTACTAAAACCACATGGGCACATCCCAGAACGAAGGAATACCACACTTACCTAAACAGACTGAGGTCTGATAGAGAGCTGCCATCCTGATCACTGGATGAATAAAAGACGAACCAAACCTGCTAGATGTACCGTTATACAGAGTATAACTCCATATCACAGCTTCTACATCACAAAACAAGCCTGATAAGCAATATAAACGATGAAAGAACCCTGACCAGTCATGCTCCCAACCTTGTCCGACCTCCAACAACCAACCGTACACCCTCTAGCAATGCCGATACCCAGAGAACAATGTTGGAATGGTGTATAACCCATAGCAACAGCCTTAGACCTGGCGCAAGCAGAGATCGGCCACAAAGTGTTGAAAAAGGTGCTGGAGAACAGGTGCCTAAGGGGTGGTTGGAAAAAAGGAACTAGGGAACATTTAATACAGTTGCGCCAGGTCCAGAAATGGGTGATAGTGTAGGGAAAAAGGTAAACAAGCTTGCGCAAGTGCCGCGCAAGACAGAGCTATCGTGTAAGATGAGATGGATGACATTGTCTGTGACAGTACCTCACGAGGATACCAAGGAGATTGCCGATGGCGCCGAGCGATCGGAACACAACATCAGAGTTGCATCACAGTTGCACTGGACCAATGGGATGTCGAGCTTGCTGTTGAGGATGTTCGCAAGCCTACAACATGTCAATTCAATTGCATAGATTGAAAACAAAATACATGGCTCCAAGGAGCTTGGAGCCATTGGCATATAGATAGGCATTCATTGAGCATGATATAAAAGATTGAGAACCATTTTGTTCCTTTAAGAAGAGTAAAACAGTCAGCGTGCAAGCTTGTCAGTGGGTACTCTAATGTGATTCTGACTTAATCTGACACATGTGAGCCAGAACATGCTTGATATGTGAGTCTGAGCATGGTCAGGCATTCATTGGGCATGATATGGTAAACTGACACCCATTTTGTCCCTTTAAGAAGAGCAAAACAGTCAGGGTGCAAGCTTGTCAGTGGGTAGTCTAATGTGATTCTGACTTAATCTGACATGTGTGAGCCGGAACGTGCTTGATATGTGATTCTGAGCATGGTCAGACATTCATTGAACATGATATGATACATTGAGACCCATTTTGGCCCTTTAAGAAAGGCAAAACAGTCATCGTGCAAGCTTGCCAGTAGAGCTATACTAAGATGGTACAACTAGAATTGATACAGAGGGTCTGAGTATACATATGTATGGCTAGCCAATGAGAGAACAGCTCAATTGAAGGGAGAAAACAGACTCATCCACTTTCTCCTAGTTCAGGGTCTTGTCACGGGACCAGAACTAATCCCTATGAACCAATACCAATTATGACGATTAACCACTTCGCCAAAAGGCTGGTAATGCTAAGCTTGGCTTAGCACTAGGTTCCGACTATATATGCAGTTACTCTGCAGGTTTTACATGTCACGTGTATGGTTTAATCTGTGACATTACCCCGCTCTCAAGACCAATCATCCCGAGGGGTATATAGCACCAACCTCAACCAGGGTATATAGCTGGTGAACCCTATTTGGTTGTAGTCAGGGGTTCACATCATTAACTCTCTGGGTCTATAGTGACTAACTTGCATGAAAGGATGGGGCGCCACTTTAACCTCTTTTATCCATAGATCATGACTGACTCTATCACAAACTTAGGACGCAGAGCGCCGACTAAGCCTATGACCTTATGATCAGACACTTACTAACTGTTGTCGACGTAAGGATGGACACAAAGAGGATCAAGGTAAAGCAGTGCCTTGCGAGTGAGCACTGATAACACTGTATGAATAGACGTAGCAGAGATGAGAATAAGTCTGAGGGACTTATGCGTCTCAGAGCTCTGGCTTATATACATGAGCGGAGGGACCCTTGGTACCCTGATACCCCAGAACCGCTAGCTAATGAACATTGTCTGATTGGTTACCACTACCTGTCAGACTACGTGTGTCATGCATGTCGAACCTCTGAACTACTTAGTAAGACCATGGGAATGGTATTGCCTGTAATGACTACATCTCCGGTGGCATGATATCTATCTACCTCGTGTATGTGAACTAATATCTCCTTAAGGACATATCTCCGGTGACATGTATCCCCTTCGTTGGATTCTTCTGGAGTCCGACCGTTGCTTCTAGGTGGGATGATATTACTGTATAAGTTAGGCTTACCTAATACCAGCACTACTTGTCACATGTGTGGATATCACGTGATATGTCACGTGACTAGACCTGGACCTTCGGGGTGTCTAGGACTGTTATTACTTCGCGTACCGGTTCGTTCCTTTCTGAACAGCCTAGCGCTGATGTCAATAATGTCTTGGTCACGTGCAGAGGTGAAAACGTGAAAATCTGTGACAGTACCCCCCCTTCTAGACAGTTCGTCCCAAATCTGGCTTTTTGCGTGGTTTCTGGAAGTAATTATCACCTGTTGAACCAAATCCACGGTGATCTCGGGCTGAGGGTTTGAGGTAATCAACCAGTGACACGACAGGGGTGATAATACATTCAATGATAAGTTGAGCAACTCGATCGCCCAAATTGACTGTTAAATCATCATTTGTATTATTGATTAGCAAAATCTTGATTTCGCCTGTGTACCCTCTGTCGATAACACCAGCACCTACGTCGATGCCTTTGACAGCTAACCCACTTTGTGGTGCAATTCGACCATAGGTCCCTCGAGGTGTTGTAAAGTGAAGTCCTGTGGATACCAATCCTCTTGAGTGTGCTCGGATGGTTGTTGGTTCTGATGCGGCTAAATCCATTCCAGCGTCGTCTTCATGGGCATATTTTGGTGCGTGTGCATTTGGATTGTCTAATGTAATTTGAAGATCTCTAGAATGATCCCAATCATCTCTATCCTGATCGTATATCTGAATGGTATCAGTGGTGGGGTCGTAGATTTGACCTGTTCTCCTGGGTGGAAAAACGCCATCGACCGGAGTTGTATCAATGAGAGATATTGGATGAGGTGCGTCAGGATATTTTCTGTGAAATTCCTTGATAAGACGCGGAGATTTCTTCAAATTTGCTGCGGGTTTCCAAGTTTCTTCAGCTTTAGAATAACCCTTCCAATGCACCAAATATTGAAGTTTGCCACAAATGACACGAGAGTCGACTATGTATTCGACTTCCCATTCTTCGCCAGTCTTTTTCTTGATAGGAGGATGGGGTCTGAGAGTGCGATCTGGTATTTCATCTTTGTGGTAGAGCGTGAGCTTGGACGCATGAAAAACTGGATGAACGCCATATTGTCAAGGCATTTTGAGTCTATATGTGACTGGTCCTAGTTTTTCTACGATTTCGAAGGGTCCATCTCTCCGTTGTGCCAATTTGGCTCCCAATGTCTGCCAATCTCTAGTGGAGAGTAATACTTGATCTCCAACTTTGAAAGGTGCAGGTCGTACAGATTGATCGTAATACCACTTCATGCGCTCAGCTGCCAATAGAATGGCTGCTTTCGCTTGCTCTTGCACTTCTACTCGTGCCTGCATTATGGAATCTAGCGTATTATGCTTTATAGGGTCCATTATTGTTGGTTCTGCACATGGATGTCTACCGTATTCGACAAAGAATGGTGAATTCTTAGTGGCTTCAGAAGCCTGATTGTTATAGGCAAATTCAGCAGTTGGAAGTAAAGTACTCCAATCTTCCACGCGCTTATCAATATAAATATGAAGATATTGCTCTAGCGACTGATTTGTTCTTTCAGTTTGACCATCGGTCTCCGGATGATATGCGGACGACATTGTTGATTGTATCCCAAGTAGCTTGCATACTTCTTGGAATAATGCGCTTGCAAACTGAGTACCTCTATCCGAGATAATCTGTCTCAGAAGACCATGCTGTGTCCATACCCTCTCATAGAAAGTACGAGCAAGATCTGATGCTGAGAACTCATTGGTGATTGCAAAGAAATGCGCTCATTTGGTCAAACGATCGACAACTACCATAATTGTGTTGAATCCATGGGATTCTGATAATTGAGTGATTAAGTCGACAGAGATAATTTCCCAAGGTTCTGTTGGAACCTCATTTGGCTGTAATTCTCCGTATTTTGGCTGATTGATGTTCTTGTTGCGTTGACAAAGGTCGCAAGAACCAACATACTTTTTGATGTAAGTGGACATTCCCGGCCACCAGTAATTACGAGATAACATCTCATATGTCTTCCATCTTCCAGGATGACCTGCACTGGCAGCTTCATGATGACGCTGGATGATTTCTCGTCTAAGTGATTCCCTATTATCTGCTTTCGACACATAGATTTTGTCTCGGTATAGTAATATCCCATTCTCGAAGTTCCAGTCTTAGAGTCCTTTCGAGAACTCTCGTTGTCCTTTCTTGAGTAATTCTTTGTATGAGTTGTTCACATTGTCATCTTGTAGTGCCTCCTTGATCTTGTCCACCAAATCATGATCTGTGACGACTGCAAGATGGGTATGTTGAATAGCTTTAATCGTGAAATATTCCGGTTTGAGCAGAGTCTTGTCGGAATTATCGAGATTTAACCCCTCTTCATGATCTGGCCTCCTAGACAGAGGATCGGCACGATGCATTGATTTCCCTGATTTGTGATGTAGTTGGATGTTGAACCGTGTAAGATATAGCGACCATCGAGCTTGCCGCCTCGTCAGCTTTTGTGCTGATTTGAAATAGGTTAAGTTCTGGTGATCAGACCATATTTCGACTGGGAGCGGATGACCTTCGAGATGTTGTCGGTATTCTTCCAACGCTCGAATAATTGCGAGCATCTCTTTGTCATAGATTTCATAGTTCTGCTCAGCCTCATTGAGGCTTTTTGAATAGAATGTGATTGGATGCCACAACCCATCGTCTTTGAGTTGTTCCAAGCATGCGCCAGTGGCAAAATCGCTTGAATCCGTTTCTAACCGGAATGGATGCGTATCATCCGGTAATGCCAGAATTGGAGCTGTTGTAAAAGCTTTCTTGAGAGCATCGAATGATTGTTGTTGCTCTTCGCTCCACACCCATTTCTGATCCTTTCGTGTAAGGATATTGAGTGGTCGAGACTTTTTGGCAAATCCTTCAATGAATCGACGATAGAAATTTGCGAACCCAAGAAAGGCTTGTACTTGCTTAACCTTCTTGGGTTCAGGCCAGTCGAGTACACCTGCGACCTTTTGAGGATCCATACGGACCTCGCCTTGAGAGATAATCATCCCTAAGTACTCAATCGAGGGCTGTTCAAAAAAGCACTTTTCTGGTTTTGCGAAAAGGTCGTTGTCCCATAATCTTTTAATTACCTCTTTGGTAATCTTCTGATGTTGTTTCAAATCGTTAGTGAAGATTAGGATATCATCAAGGTAGACGATCACATGACCTTCCCAAATAAGATCATCTAAAATCTCATTCATCATGTGTTGGAAGGTGGCTGGTGCATTACAGAAACTGAAAAACATAACCGTGGCCTCGTATAAACCGCAATGTGTCACAAAAGCTGTTTTCCATTCATCACCCTTGCGGATGCGAACATTGTTGTATCCCCATCGGAGATCCAGCTTGGTAAATATTGATGCGTTACTGAGCTGATCGATAAGCTCACTTATTCGTGGAATAGGGAAGCGATTCTTCTTGGTTATAGCATTAAGTTTTCGATAGTCTTGTACCAGTCTTAGTGTGCTGTCTTTCTTCTTGACAAAGAATACAGGGGCAGCAATAGGTGATTTCGACTTCTGAATGTAGCCTTTTCCTAGGTTTTCGTCGATCCATGAATCTAGGGAATTTCTTTCCTCCGGATTCATAGGATAAAGTTTGCTTGGTCGTGGTAATTCATGTTCTTCTTCAAACTCGATTGCATGATCATAAGGCTTTCGAGTTGGCATCCTTTCAGATGCTTTTTTGGAGAAGACATCACCGAATGAATGTAGATAATCTGGTACTAGTTTTTCCCAAGATTCCACTTCATTAATAACCTGATCTTCTGGGCTGCCAGTGTTTGACTGGGATGCCGCTTCTTTCAGGTCTTCTTCTGGTTCAGCATAGCCACAATCTGCTATAGAAAGTATCATGCGGGCAATTTATTCAGCTTCGGGGTCGTCCAGTTCGACCCACGAGATGATAGGATTTACTGCATCAATGTTGTGTCCATTAAACATTCGGAATGCAGTTGGCTCCTCATCTGCCACTTGTTGTGCTCGTTGCGAGATTTCTTCAGCTTCCTCTCTTGCAATGGCTTGTTGTTTTTTACGAAGCCTCTGGTGGTGACATGTACTCGGGCATCGTGAGTATTTCCATTCTCCAGCTTGCCAGTTGATTTCTGGATTATGCTGATGTAAATATGACATCCCAATGATCATGTCTAATTTTCCGATGTCTGTGACTAGCAGACGATGGGTAGAATCATGATCTCCGACTTTGAGATATGCTTTTACATAGTCGGTTATTTCGCCATGTTTATTTTGGGATCCGTCAGCATTGTACACCTTGTATGTTGTATTAAGCTTGGAGGTCGCAATTCGATTGTTCTTTACAAATCGCTTGCTGATGTACATGGAATATGCTCCTGAGTCGACTAAAGCTTCGGTGCTCGATTTTTTGTCGTACACCCATAATGTAACTGGTAGATAGAACAATGATAAATTTGGAGACGAATTCTTTATTGTTACATTATCATCCTCTGCATTGCGACGATCCACAGAGGTGTCTGATTCGGGTGCTAAATGTACAGGTCTTATATAATGTTCTGGGAGACTCTGACGAGCTGCCTACAGATCCCCTTTGAGAAAACCCTTCTGATCCTTCCTTGAAGAGCCCTCTCCTGCCTTCCTTGATGAACTGGATCCATTCGCCCTCAGGCACCTGAGCCTTGAGAGGATCGCGACGAAATCTTCGTCTGACTCGGATGCATCAGGCTCGCTTTCCGAGTGTATGCTGCGGTCGCTGATATGTGCAGCTGTCTCCTTACCCTTCCCCTTAGTCTTAGAGGAAGAGCTCTTTTTCTTTGGCTTCTTCTCTTCTTCGGTGTCAGAGCTTTCGCTCTCTGCATCTGATGAAGCAGAATCAGACACCACCTGTCACGTCTTGGACGACTTGGATTTATTCCTGGCGTCGTCCTTCTTCTTCCCGTCCTTCTTCTTCGCAGCTGTCTCTTTCTCCGTCTCAATCTGCCTCTTGACATGGTCCAATTTGAAACAATCGATGCAATACTTGCCGAAACGTTTCGACGATTTGAAGAATGTCGGCTTGTTCTTCTTGCAATTGGCGCAGACCAACTTGTCGTCTTGCACGCTTCGCGCTTTGCCCGATTTACTCTTTCCCTTCTTCCCGACTGCATCAACCTCCATAGCGTTCGGGTCCTTGGTTTCGGCCTTGGCATGGTGGCCTTCTCGTTGTAGTGATGTAAATATCCGGAGTGCAAATGTAAGGAACTCGGTCCACTTCTTGGGCCAGTTATCCTTAGTGGTATCCGCTAGCATGAGCAGCCACGTTTTCTCCGGAATATGTTTCTTGATCTTTTCGATCAAGTCTTGATCCGAGAAGCCTGTACTGGTTGCCTTTGGACGGAAGTCTTCTGCGAACTTTTAGAAGTCTCGATGATCCTTCTTGATGAAGGCTTCTAACTCCGTTCGCTTCTTGTCGTCCTTGTCCAATGATTCATATGCCGTGCGAAGTTCAGCGACGAACTCCGCCCAAGTTCCTGGTGCCTTATTATTTTCATTTATTTCAGTGATCCAATGCCGCATGTATTCACGTGCTCCTCCTTTCAAGAGCAAAAGGGTAGATATAATTTTGGACTCGTCTTTTGTATGTCCAGTATATTTCAACCAGAGCATGACTTGTTCGAGCCAATCATCGAGATTGACTCCATCCTTATTGCCACCATATTTTTCTGGTTGGTCAATTTTTACGCCTTTACCCTTGCGACCAAATGACGGCTCATCGTCGTCGTCCGTGTCGTCGACATTGTTACCGCCTTGCCCTGCTTTCTGTCCTTGCGTAGCTGCCCATGCGCGAAGTCAATCATGTGATTTCTTCAGGTCTTCCGTCCTGGTTTGAAGATCTTTGACCTCATCGTCAAATGCCACCAACGATTCGTTAATGGCCTTGTCATCCTCAGCTAAAGCTGCTGAGGTTTTTTCCAAGTCTGCAATTCTAGACTCAGATTGTTGGCGATGTTGGTCTAAGAAGACCATTCGATTGTGGAACTCCGTGGTGTTACGTTCCATGGTATGTGCTTGGCGCTGGATAAGATTTTCGTAATGTGCCACCGTTTGTTGACACATCTCTTCCACCACGTTTGTGACAAGATCGACTACCCAATTCTTCACATTTTCAGGTATGTTTGCATTTGGGGTGCCGTGTCGGCAAGGGCTTGACGAATAATAGGATTTGGGAGTTGCAATACAATATTGAGTCATGCGGGAAGCTCCGGAGATGGAGCACGAGAGAAGCTTGGGTCATTTGGAGTGGGAGTCGTCATCTTACAATTCTTCCTCTATTTCACGAAGATGTTCTTCGAACTCGACTATATGCCTATTGGCGATCGTAGCCTGTCAGACAATTACTCGTCCTGAGCATTGGTTTCACAATAAACAAAGGTCGCGATGGATGACCTTGACGAAGGGTTGCCACAAAAACCTGGTTTTGTCCCTGACTGCGGGCCACTGATGGTTATGATGAATTTCGCAAATACGCTCGACTTCTTCGAGCCAATTGACGAAGCTATTGTAAGCTTCGGTGAGGCGGTCTTCGGGTTCTTCAGATCCAATAGGGATATAGCAGATATGAACCGCGACATTCCTCCAATCAAATTCTGGATAGATTTGGAGGGCGTAGATGTGATATACGTCATGGTAATCGATGTCGAACGTGTCCTCGTATGTAGCAAACGCTTCGCCTGCTCTGTCTCGAAGAACACATGGAATTGAATCTCAAAGATAATTGAAAGTGTGACCGATTAGATTTAACTGCTCGAAGTTATCAAGATTGTTTGAATCGCCAGATGAAGACATATACAAAGTGAATATTCGTATCTACAGCAAAGGTCGCCCTGTGACCTGTATTCCTAGACGATACTTCTGGATAATATCTCTTATTATCCAGCGAGCTTCTCCACCCTGATGCTTCCTCTCCTGGACGTAGTTGCAGAAGTCGCGAACCACGTGTTGGTGAACGAAGGAAAGCTTGAATTCCGCGATGTCAGTGCGGATAGACTCGAGCTTGAGTATGAGATGCTCGAGGTCAAAGATGTCGTGGTCATCAAGTTGACGACGGTATCATTTGGTAAGTAGAATACGAATCTGTCGAAGAGTGCCTTCGATGCGCTGAGTCGAGATGATGGAAACGGCGAGAGGATAGATGAAATGAGACCCTGTGGCGGTCTCGACGTATGTCCCTTGATTGAGATCTGGACCAGATGGTCCTGCAGGTAGTCTCGGTCGCCTGACCGAGGGAGTCTGGATAATAGAAACTGAACTAATGCCGCGAGGGGGCCGACCTCCCATAGAGATGTGTCCTGGCCTTGGCAGGGGTCTTATGGGCCGCTGCTCATAGAACTCTTCTGGAGTTCTCACTCGAGGACGACGGATGACACTGTCGATGCTGCGCAATGCCTTGGTGCGGCTTACGCTGGTAGAGTCAGCGACTGACAGAACGTCAGGTGAAGATATGACACCGCTAATGTGCGGGTGGACGTGCGAAGATGCAACACTGTGGCGAGTACGCTGGGCAGGCACTCGAGGCAGGTAAGATAAGCAGACTTATTCTTCTATCATAAACTTAGGACGCAGAGCAC